TTACCTAATTTGCATAATTAATTAATTTTCAACTTTTGATATATCAAGTAGTAATCATCATATTTCAATGAGACTTGCTACATAGATCTTCTAGGATTATGCAGAGACCTGATTAGTTTTAATTGGATATTAATTACCTAATTTTCATAATGTTCCACTGATATATAAAGAACCACAAATTGGATTTTAATGAAACTTTTAAAGAGAACTATGCAGAAACCCAATTAGTTTTTGGTAAATATTTATGCTTATTAATCTCCTAATCAACATAATTAACACTGATATCTCAATTACTGATCATCACATTTGAATAAAATTTGGTACATAAATGCTCTAGAACAATAGACAGGTCTGATTAATTTGGGGTTAAAATTTGTTCATATTAATTCTCTAATTGGCATAAAAATTCACAATTTGTTTGTTCTGTTCATATTAGTTACCTGATTTACATAATTAGTTTTCAGCTTTTCCATCAATATCTCATGTACAAGTAAATTTGAATTAATTTTCAATGTGTCTTCAATACTCTCAGCACACGGGAGTTCTTTCTAAGCTTTCTTTGATTATTTACTGTGTTTTATTTATAAATCTTACTTCAAGGACCTTTTCATATATATTCACAGCTTCAACTAATTTGAAATAGCAATCTGATCCTATATCAAGTCCTTGCTGATTGGAATAAAGAAAGCATCATAATTATTAACAACAAGGACATCACTGTGTGCCACTTTATTGGAGACATTTAAGTTTGTAATCGTGGATAGCAACAAGATATATGGTCTATCATAAAGTCCATCTCTTACTGCACAGTGTGACACTAGACTATGCCGTAAATCACAAACTTTACATTGCAAGAGGACATGATAATTGTTACATACTCAGAATTACGCATCTCAAAATTGATATAGACAAAGACGTGTTTTCTTTATTCAGAAAGCACTACATTGAATTTGGACATTACACACAATATGAATAGCATAGCTGCAGTAAATTCAAAGATCCACAACTAGTTTGAATTTCTTGAAATTAAGCAGTTAAGTACACATAACAAGGAGAGATGAAATACAAGCTGTATATGCATATTGATATATCAAAATGTACATCACGATCTACCTCACAATTCTAAATGCCTAATGACACGCTTGTTCTGTCGTATATGTAGGGATCACACACTATAAAAGCTTAAATATGCAAAATACTGTAAACTGTTACAATTTAACGGCATTCAAAATTTTTGTGAAAGTCATTGACAATGCATGTCATAAGACAACAGGAAAAGTTTTTTGCTATGATCTTCACTGACTAAGAAAATTTACAAAAATTGAAACAGTTTACAGTAATCATTCTGAAAAAACATGGTGCACTCAATATTGCAAAATGAAAAGTATACTAGGTAAAAATCCGACTTTACATCACATTTCCCAACTGTATATAAATATTGGAGGGGGACGGGTACAGGGAAACATCAAGGTGATACCCAGATTGTTGTGGCAAGCAGTTCATTATTGATAGAATTTTGCAAAATTGAGGTCCAGTAAAATACATTTACAAAGATTGTGATTGTGCTAATGCATTTTTTTTCTTTTATGGAAAAGATTTTACAGTCAATTTAATTAATTAATACATACCAATCAGAGTGGTTTGAAATGAAGTTAATTAGCAAGGAAATAATTAAAACTTAATTCTGTATAATACAGATTTTATTTAAGATTTACCAACTATACATCAAATTAAATAATCTCCGTTAAAAGGTTGATATGGAGACTGAGATAAAATACATTTATCATGACAAATTCCACCAATGAACCAGAATTCTTCAATGTCAATATATTGTTTTAGAGTAAATGATCTTCCATTGGCAAATTCCAGATATAACGTAGAAAACTGTTCTCAAGAACTACAAATACACATAAAGGCACACTGGCTTTACAGCAATCTTATATATACATATCAATAAGTCTTTTTTTCCCCAACATGTCCTGATCACAAATCAGTAAATGCAAGCTGTAAGGCCAAGACAAAATTATGCCATTTATTTTTTACTCACTAGTGGGATTTATTATTTGATATTATTTTGTGTATTAGCTATGCATTATTACTTCAAATAAAAAGTGATTTGGGTTTGTGCGACAACGTCAACTTTCCGTATAATTTTTGTTTACAGTCATCTAAGCAAATAGTGAATAATGTCCATTTGGTCCAAAATTAACAAAGACATTATAAAAACGTGGACAAAATGTTGCACCTCAATGGAAAAAAAAGATGGCCTTGAATAATACAAAATTGCTAAAATTTTTGGCAAAATGACAATACCAAATCTACACAAGTTAGGATGAAAAGCAAGACAAGCTACATATTGAAATTATTATTTGCAGGAATAAAACTGGGGTGGGATTCTTACATCGACATGTGTTTATGGAATTAGGATAGAGATGGTAACAGTATTTGTATCCAGACAGGGTTCACTTTGGGAAAAGTTTCAGTTAAGTAATATATTTTTTTTTTGAACAATGAACAACATTATTTGCAATCCATGAGAACAGTGTTTCTGATACAGTTCACCTATAGATTATACGATACTTGGTTACAAATATAGATGAGCCATACACCAAAGCAAATGGCGAAACACGACGTATAGAGATTACTATTTACATCTTTTCACATTCTTCAGGACCCATTTCATACCATCCTGAAATAAGATAAAAATAGAATATTATAGAAAACCAAGATAGATGAAATCGGTAGTGCCAAGATGGTTGTCACAAAAATACTTTAAAGTAAGCATGAAACACAGTACAGCATTATATCAACCAACACATTATAGCGGAAAGTTACAGGATGCTATTTTAATTTTATATGTCAAATTCAAACAAACGAAAGTGTTCAACGTGATTAATAATCTTCAATGTGTCAATATTGGTGATGATTACCCCCACAAGAGAAAAAATTTGAATTAGAAATTATATTTTGATGCTAGATGTATGTTAATGCTTATTGTCATACCATACAGTTACATACTGTAAAATGACTAATTTTCACTGGGTTTAAATTTCGCTGATTTACTATTTCAGGCATTAAAAACCCACCGTGAATTAAAAACCCACTGAATAGTAGGTTTTTAATTCACGGTTTTATTATTTAGATAATGTGTCCTATGCTAAATTTTACATAGTCACTGGGCTTTAATTTAGTCAGAAAAATAAGCAAAATTAAAACCGAGTGAATAATTAACCCTTTTCACAGTAATACTTGTAAAATAGCATGAACAATGGTACCTGTGTCCGTGATTGGCAAATACAGTTTTGTACTGCAGGCTAATCTGGATCAAGCCTACAATATCGTATTCTACTGTGTGGAAATTGTACCTTTCAGAAGACTAGGAACATCTTTAATATTTTTTCCCTCATATAAATGTACTTAAAATTTGATTTTTCCACTGAGATTAGGTTCCTTATGCATTTTTCGAAACTGGATATGTTAAATACACGATATACAGCAGTAATTGAGAATGGAAGTGAATCCGCGGAGCACTATTCAAATGCAAATAAAATGAACAATAAACTTCATGCAAATTCAGCAAATCAAAGACTAATATTTAATAAGTTATTCAGAAGATTCCAGTAAATTTTTATGTATAATTCCAGTGTGCAATTCCAAAATAAAGTGTTTTTTGATTTATATATTTCAGGTTTCTGTAAAATACTTTATTTTCACTTGGAATTAATTTTCGCTATTTCTGCCTAAGGAATGATTCAGTGAAAATGAAATCCAGTGTATATATCTTTTTCCTATATTTTACATTCAACTTGTCAAAAATCAGTGAAAATAAATTCCGTACAAAACACGCAAAAAGTCTTTTCAGCGAAAATTAATTCCAACTAAAATAAAGTATTTCACAGTACTATAATCTCACACACCAATTGTTAATACCATCTTACCTGAACTCCCTCTCCATTCGTCGCTGAACACGCCTGAATTTGCCAAATTCTGTCTCGTATTATGTGTAGATTTAGTCCTTCTGCTATTGTTGATGCTGGTGCAGCACTAAACAGATCTTGTTTATTTGCAAATACCAACAATGGAACCCCGCTCAATTTTTCTTCATCTAAAAGTTCACCCAATTCCTAGGTAAATAAGAAACACACAAGAGTTATGATACAATGTTAAATTGGAAGTGGAGCAAAATAACAGCCTAGTGGTAGTAATGTGGCATAATTTGGTGGATGGTCCATCCGAGCACTTATTTCTTGGTCCACTCAACAAAGTTTTCAAAATGTTTAATCCACTATCTACATTATTACATAATGTAATATGATTAATTTCAACTTACTGTTCCTGTTTCTTCAAACCTTTTACGATCTGCACTATCAATAACATAAATTAGAATATCTGTATTTTCAAAGTAGTTTTTCCAATATGGACGAATCTTCCTTTGGCCTAAAGAAGAAGTCATATAACATTGTGAAAAAATAACAGAATAATTTTGAATCATAAATACTGTAAAATGACTAATATTCACTGGGTTTAAATTTCACTGATTTACCATTTCAGGCATATTTAGTGGGTTTTAAATTCACGGTTTTATCATTTAGATAATGTGTTCTATGCTAAATTTTACATATTCACAGGGTTTTAATTTAGCGCATTTTCCAGTCAGCGAAATAAGCAAAATTAAAACCCAGTGAATAATTTAGCCTTTTACAGTAGTCAAAAAATTTCACAGATGTATGATGTATACCAGTACTGTAGAATACTTTATTTCACCTGGAATTAATTTTGCTGAAAAGACATTTAGATTTTTTGCATGAAGTTTATTTTTACTGCTTTTGATCAGTTGAATGTACAGTGTGGAAAATAATTGTATTTCGATCGGATTTAATTTTCACTTAATTTCTTCAGCGAAAATAAATTTCAAGTAAAAATAAAGCAATTTATGGTAGTAATATAAAGTAGAGAAACAAGAAGTATGTCCAAGTGAGATTCCATAAAAAAAATACATACCTCCAATATCCCATACATTAAGTTTAAAACCTGACGACTGTACGCTCTTGATATTAAAGCCCTGCGTCGGTGTAATATGACTGATATCTTCAGAGGCTAAACTTTTCAATAACGTTGTTTTACCAGCATTATCTAAACCAAGCAGCAAAATTCTTAATTCTCTATCAGGTGCACTTTTTAGCTTTCTCAGAATTGCCAACAAACCCTGTAATGAAATAAAAATTATTGTAATGTTAAATGAGGCTCGATAAATACGAGGACACTGCACATTGATACTGAAAACCATCAAAATAAGAGGAACCACAATTTGGCGTTCTTTCCGTCTATGTTCAGAAATTCAATTTTAAAAGTCTGAACTATCAGTGGACCTACATTGTAGTTGAAGTACTCAATATGATATCTGTTATCACCAAATATGTTCTCTATTTTAATTTGCAAAATGTTTAGAGGAGTGCATAACACAAAACAAAATGATTTTGTAGTCCTTCCCACATGAAATTTGTACAATACTTTTGTCTGTATGGTTCAAAATGATGAAATTTAGCAACAATTTTACAAAATGCGATAATATTTGCACTGAATTTGGGCGAGAAAAATATCTGGCACTCAAAGGATTAAACAGTGAACTGTCTTTGTACTAAGCACCGTATTTTTCAATTTGATTAAAATCAAATGTAGATTTCTTTTTAATTGCCATATTTTATTTATTTATTTTTTTTTGTTGATTTCTTGGGATTTTCAGTTTTTAATATAGTGTATTTCAGTCACCTAAAATTGGAACCTATATGTATGTACAGTAAATATTAATTTAGAATGGGTATTTAGGTGTTATGAGACATTTACACCCTTACAAAACTACAAAAACATCTTTTCTGCATCATAGTCATATACAACATATTTCTATAATGTACGACATCCATTTAAATTACCAGAATCAAGCTCTGAATGTAAAATTACTTCCTGAAGCAGCTTAACTCTTACAAAGAAGAAGCGGCTTAATCTGCATCGATTTAAACTACTACGGTAGTACTTTTTTTGTGTATAAGAAAATGGTCACTCATTCAGCATACATCATCAAATGTTGTATAAAGCATGGATAACTGATAAATCTATTCAGATACGGTAAATCTACCTAAATTGAAGATAATCCCTATTTGTCAATGATGTCAATTTATCTTTTGCTTTCCATCAAAGTTTCGTTGCTAAATTAATTTGTATTAGATTGAATCTGGGAAATGGAGCATTGAGCCAAATTCACTAAAAATTATAGTAATCTTCCTGTCTCCTTGCAGATCTTAGGAATACATGTTAAGTTTTTGGATACATAATGAAAGTAACAAGATCAAACACAAGCCAAACAGAGCCCCAACAGGAAATTAGCCAGTTGATCACATGGCAGCAAAGTGTGACATACTGTAGTTGCTACCTTCACATAACTGTACGACTCTCAGTACATGACAGTTAATATCAGGGGCAGTTTTGTGTGATCCTTCCTTTGTATAGCATGTACAACATACAATTTTACATGACATGACACAGAAATTGTTGTGAACTTGTGTGACTTAAAGAGAAAACGACAAACAAACAAGAAAAAAACATCAAACTGGAGTGAAATTTGACAAGCTGGCATTTAGTATCGAAATAATCCATGTTACAAAACAAAAGACAAAGTTAAAAACTGAAATGAAAATCCTTTGTTACTGTGAATGCATAAACTCAAACATGGCTCTCTGTAGTGGAAGTTAAGTTTTATTCAGATCTAAATGTTTTTTGTGTTTTTTTGAGAGAGTTAATAATTAGAATAATAATATGGTTTAACCTCAAACACAAACCACAACAATGGTGGTGCAGATCGTTTTAATACATCACCTGTAAAATCCCTCAAGGATAATCAATATGAATGGTATAAAAAAGCATCAGCACATTATGTGTTAACGAGTCACTGACTAAAGAAAACGGGGTGCAGTGTTTTACCAATACAGACTGATTAATGTAGAAGAACACTATTCGCTATCTGTATCATCATGGTGAGGAAAGAATATGTTAACTGACATCAGGTATCGTATATTCAATTTAGTAATTTTATATTAGTTAGTATTTTAGAGATTCTGTATTATTTAGTAATTAATTTTTTTTTTAGTGATTGTATTTGTTATTTAGTATATTGTGTTTTTGTTTTGTTTTTATATATATTTTACTCCTCGTACTTTGTGACCATTTTATTTCCCTCCAGGGATTGTGTAAGAGTCAATAAGTAAATAAAATAAATATCTCTAAACGCGACAACCTTATATAACAAGCTCAGTATATATAGCTGCACCGTGGACCTACTAACCCATGTAGGTAGGTTTGTGGCTCCATGGCTTTACATTGGACAATGTAATAGTGTGTTCACTTGTGTGTTTTTCAAATATATGTATACCTTACATTGGTCAACATTTTATAATTTCCTCATATGTATTTAAAGATCATTGTGGGAAAAAACAATATATATAAATTATGTTAATTATATACACATATTACAAAAATTGTACAGAGATTTGCTATATAATGAAAGTACTAGTATTACGTATTGTAGTTTACATCACACCTATCGTATATCTGTATATTCAATCAAATGTCTGGACCATGAAAATAACCGTACAAAAATGTTTTATTTGAATGATATACATCAACATTTAAATATAACGTTTATTTGTGATTGTCAAACGACACATTGAAATCAGTCACACTTTTTGGTCGAACAGCGACATTTTCAGAAGACTCAGCAAACGAAAAAAAAACACGAAACTATCCGATTCACGTTGTTTTTATTTTACAAACAGGAAGCAGATCCCACCATTTTTTTCTGTCATGTCATACAAAAGAAGCGATCATTAGAAGTGAAAGACGAACAGAAAGCCATCAAGTTTAATGTTAAGAAAACAAACATGGAACGAATACAGTCTGCGTGATAATAAAATTGTTCCGATCTCAACAAAAGTGTTAATCGCAATATTAGTGCTGAAATATCGTGATAAACTACTCACCATTTTGAAACCACTATGCTGGGGTAACTATGTGTGACGTCACTTATGGTGCATCCTGGGAAAGTTACCGAAGTGAGTCTGCGTAGTGACCCAGAGTTCATATTTAGGTTAAAGGTGTGAAGGTAGCCCCCGCCAATCATATCTCACAGCTGGCTGCCACTTCGGCTGGTCTATAAAAACAGTCATACTATCATATTCGCGATTGAAGCAACAAAGTCAAATAAGGCAGCTAAAATATTACGTAAGTTGCATATTCATTTGTTTCATCACGTGTTACTCTTTGAACTAACATGAATTCATTCATTTTAAATTTTGTGTTTTTCCTTTTAAAGGGTAAACCCATTTATTATCCGAGGGGGGTCAGACATGACAAGGATTCGTAAACTTGCTTGGTTCATCCATCTTTTCTACCTCCATGGTTCATCTGTTCTCTAGGTTGGAACGAATATGAAACAATAAAAATATAACACAAATTCTAGGAACTATGCATGGATCTCTTGTTTATTATAACATTCACAGGTTACTCCGTGAAAAATAGCTGACGAAGTACTATATTTACGAGTTACGTTGTTATTTTGACAAGTCGTGGATATGCCCCGTTTAAGTAAAAATAGGAGCAACTTTTTGACATTTCGATCGATCTGAGTATCTTGTAGAGCTAATGATAATTATTTTGAAGCACATACCTTTATTTTTTTCTCACAAAGTAAAAGCTCTTTTTACCTCCATGGTAGAAGTATGCAATCATAGAACTTCAGTTTGTAGTTCCATTATGCATTATACAATATATCAATACAGACTCACGTGAATAGCACGTTTGTCACTTCGTAGTTGCTGAATTAAAGTGTGATATTGTTTGTATACTGTTAATTTTTTAACAAAAAACGCAATTAATTATTTCACACTGATTTTAACTGATTGTGATTAAATTTAGCAATGATGAAATTAAAAAAATGATGAATAAGTTATGAAAATGAACTCTCTGCAAATATTACGAGCAAGTGGTTGTTTCATTCACACTGATTACCGGTATAACTAATTGTAATTAAAGTGTACAATGACAGAATTATTAAAAAAGACTGAATAGGTCTTGAAAATGAACAGTCTGCAAATATTATGAGCAGATGATTGTTGATAATATTTGCATTTGACTTCATTTCCAAACAAATGTAATCATCCAACGAACTCAAAAAATCTGTGAATCAAAACAATAAAAAAGTCACTCTTTTCTCGCCAGATTTTTTATAAAGCTTGGCCACCTGTACAGGGTTCAGATTTAGGGGATGATTTGGTTCGTACAAAAACTCTTAAAATCTGTTTCAGGTTTCAGAAAATGTGTTTTTTTTTCATCTTTTTTTTTTTTTCATGGTTTACTTTAAGAAACATACTGGGTGAAATAACATTCTGGATCCGCTACAGTGATAAGAACTTTGATATATGAACTTTGGTATGACATATGAACTGAACTTCGGTATGTTATCTTGTACAAGTGTCGCATAATTTTATTCAGATGTCTGATGATTTAGCCCATCATTTATCTCCAAATGTCCAATAGTCTGACGCTCTAATGAAAGAGTCTTGACCTTCCCAGACAAAAACCCGAAAAGCAGGTTATTTATTTGTTTCATGATGAATCCTTTACCAAATATGTTAAAATATTTAAATGAAATAAAATGAACAATCTCAGTTCCATCAATTACACACATGCATGTATGCTATGTCAAAAAGCATTTTTTACTAAAAATGACTGAAATTTCACAGTTGAACATAATCATCATGAAACGAACAAATATAAAAAAATCATCTAAGTCCATCAATTCAATATCACAGCAATCAGGCTGTTGGTTCTTAAGAAAAAAATTGTAATTTTCCTCACCAAAAAATAACAATATTCACTATAAATCTTAATTACGGTGATAGTGAAGCAAAATTTCATAAATATGCAAATGAACTTATTAATAATGATAAATGGTTGCATAAAGTCTGTCTCACTCAAATTTGTATCAACTTTCCTCTGCAGGGTTGACCGTTAAAAGATAATGAGGGGTACTATATTTAAAAAAAAAAAAATTATCTGGTACCAGGGGAAATGTGAAATTAGTATCAAGGGTTTTACTCATATTGGCTATTTCGTAGCTATCACATTACTATATTGCTGAATGGGCAAGGCTCGGATCATTTTGAAATTATATTCATCTGTGCTAGTGATATCAAATTTATGGTTTTCAATTAAAAAAATTTAAATTTAGCTACAAACCACATCCAAGTGAGTGAAATGTACATATCGTTAGTTTTTATGAACATAAGGGACATATTCTGCTAATTAGAGAGTAGAAAAAAACTTGCATTGATATACAAGTAATATAAATGTATGTACCATTGAGTTACCCTTGAAAACTATAGTTCTTCTTTTAATTTCATGAAAGTATGTGATTTTTTTGCTATAATATTATTTCTTTTCATTGTTTCAGTCGTGTGAATCATGTCAGCATTAACCGAAGACCAACCCACATTGTCAGAAACAGCAACTGTGTTGAACAGTACAAGTTTGAGACTTGATTTAGACAAACCAAGATGGGATCAGTCTACATTCATGGGAAGATTGAAGCATTTCTTCAATATAACTGATTCAAGGAACAGTCTCTACTCAGAAAAAGAATTAGACGATGCCAAAGAATTAATAATGAGATATAAGTATGTTATCATTTTATATTTTTATATATTTTAGCTTGTTTCACACTTTTGCATAGTATGAAAGTAACTTTTGTAATCTATATTGCATTTATATAGTTTTCGATTTTTGCAATTTTCAAAAATTGAGTTGTAGTATGCACAAATGTAAAATATTCAAAATGCAATGGATTTTCCTATTTAAATAATCTGAATCCTATTTTGAGTAAAATCTAAATAAATCTACCAGGCAGGTTCAATGTCATTTTAGCGTAATGAAACATAACAATTCTACTGAGCAAAATGGTAGTAATTGCTACAGACTCTTGATTGTTTGTTTTGAGCATTCTGCCTGGGAGTTAAAGTCGCCAAAAAAATTCTTTTACTTAAACAAATATGACTAGATTATTAAGTATTTTACAGTAGTTTCTCATTACAATGTTGTGAAGGGTAGCCTTACATATAGGCGTGAGTGGCGTGCTCGACGGCCGAACGGCATCAGTCTCCACTAACGCCTGACAGAATAGTGTATATCATGTCGGCAAGATCATTATAGACTGTCGACAGTTTATAAGCCTAATAAGGAGTCACTTATTTTCAAACGCCGTAGGCATATTATTTTAAGCCTCATGGCCCTTGCTTGAAATTTGGCATTTCGTTAAAACGCCTATGGTGTTTAAAAGTAAAGCCTGAGAACTGTTGACAGTCTAAGATTAATTGAATTTCAATGAATATTCATTTTGGTGGTCATGGTAACACTGTCAATCAAAGCAGTGTCAGCAAAAATCACAGACTGTTTTCAATAAGATGATAAATATAGGGCAGAAATTTGCCATCACCGTATCACACATTATGTCAATAAACAATAAACTCTGCCGTGAATGGTTACACTTTGATGGCTGTCACTATCTGACATTCCTGCAATTTGATTGGTACAGACGAAAAATCGTTGAGGAAGTAAAAAACTACATCGTTCTGTCAGGCATGTGTTTGGAGCATTGGGGGTTTGGAGCATCGTGGAGGGCACAACTCACGCGACCTTGTCAGGCTGTGTAGAGGGTTGCTGCAATTAGGGAGCAAAGGTGACACTTTGGTGATAGCAGGGAAAGAATGAGATGTGGCAACTACCGTACTTGTTTAGATATAATCACGTTCATTATTTATAAGCCGACATTCCCATCCAAAACCTATTATCATGTAATAATGGGCAATGTAGACCTAGAGTTCAGTTATACCAGTAATACCATGAAATGTTGAAAACTTGAAGATACACACAGTTGTATGATTGAGAAGAAAGAAATCAACCATGTTGTTACTAGTTGTCCACCTTCCAAACACATGATACTAGGTTTGAGAGACTGGTTTGCACACATGTACTCACAATTAGAACCTAAGGCCAGACTTTTTTTATTCCTTGTTTCTCGAGTTTTTATGAGTCAATTTATTTGAGGAGGGTGGAAAAAAAAAAAAAAATTAATTCTTTTTTTCCATTAGATTTGTGTGATTCTCAAAGAATTGTATGTGAGATTATTGCTCGGAAAGAAGAAATGAAATAAAATTTTATTCCATGTATAACCTGGTTGGCAATGTCGCCAACTGTGGCACAATTTTCAGCATTAATGAGGAATTTTTGTTTTTTGACGACAGAGTTTTGACGTCGCCGCCATGTTCGCCTAGTAGTCTCAAGCAGCACGCCGAAATTCGCTGTCAACCAACGCGCATAAAGTGTAGATCTGCGCGAGACTTCGGTACTTTGATCATGATACTCCCATGAAAATGCAACTTGGATTTGTTAGGCAGCGGGCGAAAAAAAAATGAAGATAAAAATATTTTTTTTTAGCAATTTTTTGCACTCACAAGTCGGTGGGCGCGAGAAATTACACTGAAATAAAATTTTATTTTTATTTCATTTTCGGCTCCTGTTCATTCAACGGGTTCACGAAATAAGAGATAATAAAAGTCTGGCCTAAGATAAAAGAAAATGAAGAGTTGTTACTGCATTGTTTAAACTATTGGCTGACACTCAATTTGGTTTGTCTGTTCATGCAGCGACATTGAGCACTTCCCCTTTACTGGTATCTACCAATCAGAACAAGTTGTTTCAGTAATTGGCACACATTGTATTCATAATTCCTGCTTGTTATAGGTCTTGTACTGAGCCTCCTGGTACGACAGAAGAACAGTTATATCATGCACAGAAGCTGTACATGTCAGCATTTCACCCGGACACTGGTGATAAAATGAATGTGATTGGTCGAATGTCTTTTCAAGTACCAGGTGGTATGCTAATTACAGGTGGGATGCTGCAATTCTATAAGTGAGTATACTATTGTGATGAAAACATTTCTTCATAAAATCTAGAATGTATCAATTGTTTGTTCCTGCTTTAACTTATCATATGAATAATTTTTATCTGCCAATATTGTATATACCAGACTGTAGCCGCCGTTTAGTTATATTGTATTTTTATCGTACGTTTGACTTTTTGTATTTACGCCCTCTAGTGACTATAATATTTCACGCTCCGATGTACGTTCTTTTTCTGGAACATTTAGCCAGAAAAGTCAGTTCACAGTTAGCGCTCGACAGAGATTGACCCAAAATCGTTTTTATCTACGTTAAGACGGATAGAAGCCGTAAAACGTGTAACTGAGGTCAGTTACTCCCTAGACAGTTACTAATGGTCTGATGTAGCTATGTACCAGTTTAGTTTGTAATTCAGTTAAGAAGTATTTGGACATTATAATTGTAATGTTGAGGTGAGATCGCCTTTGTGTGTCAATGAATTTCCTACTTCAAGATACTGATGGTCACGCTACGTGAGGGATGAGTAACAACGATTAGTGTCTAATTAGAAAGCTATACACGTATAAGGGTGCGTGTATACAGACTGTACAATGCTTTACAAAACGTGTTTTTTTCCCTTCATGCAGAACTTGGCCTTCTGTTGTTCTATGGCAGTGGATCAACCAGTCTTTCAACGCTCTAGTTAACTATACAAATAGGAATGCTGCTTCACCAATATCTAATAAGTGAGTAGGAATTACATATCACTTTCAGTTTATATCAGAATTCTGTATTGTGTTTGAAATATCAAAGTTTAGTATTATAGAGCTTTAAATTTGTATGCAAATGTTACTACCATACATGGTGGCATATGCAGATTTTATAACCGTACATGGGGTCATATGCAGATTTTATAACCATATATGGTGGCATATGAAATTTTTATAACCATACTTGGTGGCATATGCAAATTTTATAACCATACATGGTGGCATATGCAGATTTCATAACCTTACGTGGGGACACAGCTGATTTCATAACCATATGTGGTGGTGTATGCACATTTTACATGGTGGCATATGCAAATTTCATAACCATACATGGTGGTATATGCAAATTTTATAACTATACATGGTGGCATATGCAAATTTTATAACCATACATGGTGGCATATGCAGATTTCATAACCATACATGGTGGCATATGCAAATATAATAACCATACATGGTGGCATATGCAAATTTTATAATCGTACATGGTGGCATATGTAAATTGTATAACCATACATGGTGGCATATGCAAATTTTATAACCATATATGGTGGCATATGCAAATGTTATAACCATACATGGTGGCATATGCAAATTTTATAACCATACATGGTGGCATATGCAAATTTTATAACCATACATGGTGGCATATGTAAATTGTGTAACCATACATGGTGGCATATGCAAATTTTATAACCATACATGGTGGCATATGCAAATTTTATAACCATACATGGTGGCATATGCAAATTTTATAATCATACATGGTGGCATATGTAAATT